GCTGCGTCGACCCTTCCCCACTGTCCATGTGGCCCAACAACTACGGAGGTTGGGTCGACGAGTTCGAGAGCTTAGGATTCGAGGATTGCCTTCACAAGATATGGCCCGTCACCTCCGTCTACATCGACGATGAAACTAGCCGGGATTTGGATCGCGCCTACGCCAGGGTCGATCGGGTGGCCCTCAAGTCGAAACTTCTCTCGCACTGCGCCGCGAATGGGGTCAAATTCCACGAGGCCAAAGTTCGAAGAGTCGAGCACAACGAGTTCGAGTCCTCCTCGGTCGCCTGCGACGACGGGACCCGCCTGACGGCTCGCTTAGTAGTCGACGCGGGCGGGTTCGCGAGCGGTTTCGTCGAGCACGACCGACCCGGAAATCCCGGGTTCCAAGTCGCGCACGGCATCCTAGCCGAGGTCGACGGGCACCCCTTCGACTTGAACAAAATGGTCCTCATGGACTACCGGGACTCTCACCTCGCGAATGATCCGCGACTACGTAAGAACAACTCGAAACTCCCGACCTTTCTCTATGCGATGCCCCTCGAGCCCAACTTGATATTTCTCGAGGAGACCTCCCTCGTGAGCCGGCCGGCCATGTCCGGGGCAGAGGTCCAGGACAGGCTGGTGGCGAGGCTGAGACACTGGGGCATACACGTGCGTTCGGTGGTGGAGGACGAGAAGTGTGCGATCCCGATGGGGGGCCCACTACCGAGGATCCCCCAACGCGTGGTGGCAATGGGGGGAAACTCGGGGCTCGTGCACCCGTCCACCGCGTACATGCTCACCCGGATGATGGCGATGGCACCAGACCTCGCGGGGGCTATTGCTCGTGGGGGCTCGCCATGGAACAGTTTGTGGCCGCCCGAGAGGAGGCGGGAGAGGGAGTTCTACAACTTGGGGATGGAGATGTTGCTGAGGCTGGATCTCGGGGGGACGAGGCGGTTCCTCGACGCGTTTTTCGAGATGGAGCCTCGTTACTTGGAAGGGTTCTTTTCTTGTGGACTCACGATGAGGGAGATTTTGGGGTTCGGGTTGTCTGTGTTCTGGCACGGCTCGGGGGCCGCTAAGGTGGATATAATGACCAAAGGTCCTATGGCCATGGCTAATTTAATAGCCAATAATTTGGCGCCCGAAGCTTTGTTATTGTAGAAAAGGTTTTATTTTATTTTATTTTATTGTTTTTTGTATGACTCAAATGCACGGCATTCATGACTATTCATACTTTTTATGTGTGTTTTTTTTTTTTTTTTT